CATACGTCTATTTTGCATCTATTTTTTCACACATGTTATGTACTAACACAGCCTTATGTAAAAAATTTGAAAGGGCCTTATGTAAAAAATTTGAAAGGGTGCAAAAATGGCAATACAAATATTTTAAAGTCAAATTGGTAAAGCCCATCTCGGAATGTAGGGAGGTCCAAGTTCGAACCTTGACTGGGGTGATACTTTTCGCTATAAATTCTTTACAGTGTTTTAAAATTGCACGTGATTATATATTCCAATTAAATTAATATTAATATATCAAATACCATTAAATAATATTATATTTTATTATATTTTACATGCCGTAAAAGAAATATTTTTTTGTTACTACGGGACGCATTTTTTTCTTTTGCCTCGGGCGCCGAAATGTCTAATCCCGGCTCTGTGTACTAACATAAAGTTTTAACAATTTTGGTTGAACGTAAGATTAACATATTTAAATTGATTAAATGGTGTATTATTCTTGTAACTCACATGAAGCCTTTTGAGTAATACAGCGTCTGTACCCGAACTCGCGCTTTGTTTCGCTGCCTTCCAAAATTGCTTTTGGGCGGAATACCGGTTCATGGGACATATTTTGAAGAGACAATCTAAAAATCAATAATTGCTATCATTCGACAACATTTTAACATTTCAACTTTAACATTTCTATTTAATTTAATATCGCCCATTTTAATTGTTCGCGATAGCAATATTTTAAAAAATTAAGAAATATCGATATAAAAATTGTCATGAAATTCATTTACATATTTATTGCACAGTAAGAGTCAATAAGGAGCATAAATTATCTCAAAAGATATAAATTACCTCTGAATTTCTTCGGTGGGTTTGATAAATCTCCAGCTTCGGGACATACTACACACCTGTCGTCGACCAATCTGAAAATAATACACATTTTCGAGCTAACAAATATGCGAAAATAACATATAAAACAACGAATATCATATATTATTATATTATTAAAGTTTACAGTTTAAATATAAATATCACTTATTTACGATATATAAATACATGTTTCTCACAAAAGCTAAGTAATTATTATCACATTCTATTACTGTATATATTATAAAAAAGAATGTTCTTTGACTATTTATTACATATTATCTTCGCTCCTTTCATTTTCTTTTTGCAATGACTAGTCTAGTCATATCGTTTAGCGTTTAGCGCATTATACGTGTCAAGTAACATTGATAATACACAAAGTTTCGGAGTGATACAGATACAATAGCCGCACCTCCGGCTTTCTAACTATGCAATGTCGACACTGCGGTCGAACCATCATTAAATAAGCGTGGTCCAGGAGGAGAGAAACGACCCACGATATGGGTCGATATTGAAGCAAGTCCCTGTCTTGTCCTGATAGCTTTAACGGATTGCGTAAAAGGGAAGAGCTTTCATCTTATAAGTAATTACCATAAGAATTGCTTAAAAACGTTACCTTACTACTACGAAATATCATGTGAAATGATATATATCTGATAAAATGAGATATATTTTAATTACTATATTTTTTATTAAATTCTGTGCTTTTATATATCATAATCTTATCAATTTTATTACATGATATATGAAAAATATATACGCGTTACGATGTTAAGTTTATTTTTTATGTTATGCCATATTATATATCACGATTTTCTGTAGCGTTGAATTTTATAAAGAGAAAAAACTACAATAGAAATGTCAAAGTAGGATGTGGTTTCATCTTGCAGTAAACAAAAGGCACGATCACAACTCGGCAGACACCAAGCAAGCTATTGATCCAGATATTTCGTATTAATGGAGCACGTAAAGATAATCCCATGTCTCTTGCATGATATAATTATGTCTTACCGGACCGAATAATTAGAAACTTCGTCGAATGAAACTTGTCTTAAATTTTGCTGTTACACAAAACCGTTACACATTGTGACATTACCAAGAAATTACAACATAGAAAGCATAGCTTGTAGTTACCACGTGTTCGGATTGCGGTTCAATCTCGAGTGCAAATCGAGATATCGTCGCTCGCTTATCTGGGCTCACACACAAGCCAATAATTAAGATAACGGCGCAAATTAAACATCACGCACACACCGATTAATATTTTATTAATTAAATACGTATTATGCGTAATATGTAGGTCATATCTCTCAAAAGTGTGCTTCCAGAATGTTAATCGTAGATCTTATCATGCAATTTAGATTACCATTAGATTAATCATTTATTTACGTTGCTCACATTAATTTTATAGATTATTGTCAAACTGTATTTTTCCATGTCGCTATCTGCCACTAACATAGGAATATTATTTGTTAACCACCATTATGCATATATGAATATAAGCTCTCCGGCTAACAAGATTCCGATTAGGCTTCTCTTCGCAAAGATAAGCTCTCTATATATTATAGACGAGGGGAGAATGTTATTCACGACTCACACCTTATTTAAATCTACAATCCACACAAGAATGCATTAAAGACCATTCTTCTTTATGTATTAATAAGATAAACAGATATAAAACTTTAAGAAATATAATAGAAATATCTTTTATAAACAAAATTTGTGTGTGTGTATCAACGTTATGTAAATTTTTTTAAAGAACAGCAAATAATTTCATATCGCAGTATCGTTCTTATTTTAGGAAAGCATCAATGTAATACAAATTGCATTACGTGCTTTCATGTCGCGCCTCTTTATGTAGTAAATTAATAATAAATCTAATATCGCGAGTACAGAGAGAAAGAGAACGAAATTCACTTGCAGTAAAATTTCAAAAATTATTTCACAATTTTCTTAAATTTGTTCAATACAACGGGAATAATTATGCAGATGCATGTTTCGAGGCTTCTCCAATTAATCGAGGAGCGATGTACAACCAACATTTTATCGACCCTTTCACGATCCCTGAATGTATTGAATGTCGCGGTGATAGAATACCGCGTACAATTCCTGGTAGCAAGACTGTCAAAACAATAGATCAATTGGTCTGACATCAACGATAAACTTCCAGAATATTCGTACCATCGAACGAAGAATTTCCATCCGATGTGCAAACACAAATAGAGGACTCGTGTGTACGATCGTGCGTTATTGCGGCCGCAAACACGCGTGTAGTTGGCGTGATTAACGGCAGCGCTTTGCACCGCCGTGATTAACGACGTTTTGCGTTTCTGGAGCCGCCGCGAATAAGAGAACATGAATTTGCTTCGCTTTACGTATTAAGTCAAATAACGCAAGAAATATTTAATGCTCTCGCCTTTTAATTTTTTGCGAGTAAAATTATATAATGTATTCTCTCCGTCTCGCGAGAAAAAAAAAGCTTCGAAACTGAATCACAGTAACGGAAAAACTATCGCGTTCTTATACCATCTAATTTTTCTAGCTAATGGATCTTTTGAAATAAACTTCAAAGAAAAATATAGATCACAGTTTAATATATATGATATGCATTATTGTTGCATTTGCACGCAACATAAAGGTATAAGTTCGAACAGCGTATTTTTTCTTACCTCTTTGTCATCTAATCTATTTTATTTTCGCCCAATATTATTTAGTTAGGAAGACGCTATGACGGCTATAGGACAGCAAAATCCGATATTGTTATTTCTAGCGACAACGTGTCACCGTTGCTGCTCTGCATCGTGCGCAGCTGGGATTACAAGAGGATCACCGTTGTCGTGTAGTTGTTGGTGTGTTTGTTGTTGGAGTATCAGAAATGAAGCGGAAGACGAACAACTCGAGCGTGCGCGAAATTGCAAATATAAAAATATAAATTCTTTAGGTGACCAATATACACCGCGACATTCTCATATTTTATATTTATACTTATCAAAGCAATTAACAGATGTAAAGGGAATTTTCCGCAAGTTTAAAGCGGCACAATCCAAATCATATTTCGCAGCGGCAGCACAAAAAAAAAGATTTCTCTCATGTAATAAAAATCAGGAATGTTTAGACAAAAATTTATTCGCGATGGATTATTCTCATAATCCATTAAAAATCAATCTCGTATAATATTCGATAATAATAAACAAATAACATTTCTGCCTAAAACGCAATTCGGATCTCTATCATGATACACATGTATACATAATGCAATCAATTTCTGACTAAATCATGCGTATATTCGCGTGCACAACTCGAAAATACGATAAATTTCAATAATCCGCCAATTAAGATGAAAATTTATAAAACGATTTAAATTTAAACTGACAACAAATGTCTCAAAATAGTTTAGACGGGGAAGTGGCAATACGAATTAATAATCGTCATAAATTCATTGGGCATTAGTCGCGATGTACGGCTAATATCTCGATATTATCGTTTCGCTTAAACAATTTAACGCGCATCCCGTGTAAAAAAAAGTGTGATGCTTACGAGTATAAAATGATTTAAACGCGAAGTAACCATGTAAACTCGCAAACGTCATCCTTACAAATTGATCTTGCATAATCCACAGACTATACTTGGTAATTGTTATGCTAGAGACGAGAGGCCGATTTACGGTTTGTAAAAACCTAAGATTCCACTGAGTGTTGGAATGTAAAATTTTAAGCGTTTGTCCGCGTAAGTAATAATATCAATTCGTAAATGTTTTTACGAATGGATCATGCGTGAAATATTGATATATTTATAAATTATTTGCTTTATTAATTATACGCTCGATAGAGCCGAATGCTAACTCATAATTTATAAAAATAGCAATCAAATCAAGGGTGTATGTATGTGTATCCTGCATAGCTTTAGGTTGTTTTCGCCGCTGTGCATCTTGAACGCGAAATTTAATAAAATTCCGACCTGCTTTGTGGCCAGAAAATAAGGGCAATCTCATCACACGGCTATAATCGTGCTTCTGGAAATAGCCCCGTCATCGACGTCGTTAAGTAAGTAAGTATATATTGTGGACAGCCACACGGCCGCGATATATACTCACATCATTATTATCAATGATTTCGTGCGCCGACGCATTTATCGAGCCACAAATTAGAAGCTTTTCATTAGCATGCACCGAATTATGCAGGTTTCAAAATTCGCTCTCTCTCTCTCTCTCTCTCTCTCATATCTCTGATCAATTTTGTATCTACATGTATGTTGTAACAAAATGCGGTAATTAAGGGAGTGAAAGGTGGCACGCAACCGCATGTATCGTTATATGTTTGCATACGCCACGCAATCTTAATCGTGGTAAATCTAAACGTTTAAGGGGACTTGAAAAGCCGCAATCAATGAAAATACCCTCATAAAACTTTAAGCGTATAAGATACGGGTACTATCTATTTGTATAGCTGAGGAGCTAAAAGAATATAAGCCTCTAAAAGTTTCTTCAGAACAAGCTGGGAATCAGAGATGCGCATTTTCATGATAAATTTTAAATAGGGATAAGTTCAGCTAAAGACTCGTGTATAAAATAAAATAAAATAACTTTTTAAAAATATTGATTTAAGTAAACAAATTTATCAACAGTTTCTGTTTTAAAAATATAAATTGTCTCTTCAAAAAAGAAATTTGCAACAATTTTCGTTTACTGTGACGTCGATACATGATACTATCGTATCTGCAGCTTTCATAGTTAATCTCGAGTTGATAAAACTTGTTTTTCTGATTTCGCGAATATACAATAAATACGTTAAAACCGAGTTTGCTTCCATCTGCTTCTCAAGTGCAGATATCAGATGCGCAGAAGCCAGATGACTGCATTTTAACTCGGCTTCTAGCCATCTCTAGCAAAACATGATCCGATATGATCGCCGCGAACTTATTTGAGTGTGAGAGCAGCATTCATTCATGAGCACGAGGACGAACTGGGCGAAACGTGTGTGACCTATTTCCATGATGCAGCGTCAAAATTGATGGGTCTCCTTCCGCGGATCGTCGAGAGAATATTTATCCCGAGTGT